CCCCAAAACCCCAAAACCCCAAAACCCCAAAACCCCAAAACCCCTTTCAGTTTAAGAAAATTTGAAATAAAATAAATAAAATAATAAATTTCAAAATGGATTGGAAATTCGATTATGAAGAATTAGTCAATAAAGTGAAATATCAGTTACATGCAAAAGGACTTGACTGCATTACCGGCATCTATGGTCACTTTCAAAAGTATGACGTTGATGGATCTGGCCAGCTTGATAAGGTAGAATTCGACCTTTTCATGAGGAAAATGGGAATGTTCCTCACAACACAAGAGCTAACTGTCGTTTTCACAAAATTTGACATAAACGGGGATGGACAAATCCATTATCAAGAGTTCTTTGAGGTACTAAGGAGCTCATTCAATGAAAAGAGACAATCCGTAGTAAAATATGTCTGGGAATTACTAGACTCAGGGAATGCAGGCACTCTTGACTTTGCTCACCTCACTTCTAATTTCCAAGCTGCTAATCATCCAAGAGTCAAGCTAAGAGAAAAGACTGCTGATCAAGTTCAAGAAGAATTTGAAGTTGGCCTTGGATACAGATCCAACGATGGTCCTGTTAGCAGAGATGCCTTCTTCGACTATTACGCAGATGTGAGCGCCTGTCTCCCAGCAGAAAAAGATGAATACTTCATTGACTCCGTCCTTGAGTCTTGGGGACTTTCTCAAGAATCCTATGTCACTCCTGAAAGAATTGCCGAACTGGAAGATATTCTATACGAAAAAGTTAGGCAAAGAACCCATGGAGCGGATGATGAAGGAAAAACAGCTGGCAAAATATTCAGACATTTCGATAAAGATGAGTCCCATTCTGTTTCATTTGAGGAGTTTTATCAAGCATTAGAAGCTTATGGATGAGTATTCAAAGACTCTGAAATTCAAGCATTCTTCAACAAAATCGATAAGGATGGATCAGGCAAACTTGACTATGGAGAGCTTACCAAGGTACTCGCTCTCAAAGGAAGCGGTAATAACCCCAATGTCAACCCAGTATGGAAGCTGAAGGACCCAGAGCTTCAGACCCTATATGAGACTAAATAGGCGAATAATTCAATAAATTCATTTATCTACGGGGTTTTGGGGTTTTGGGGTTTTGGGGTTTTGGGG